TTAGCATTTACATAAAAGCTAAGCTAACATGTGTGTAAGTGCAGCATCACAGAGCTGCTAGCACGGCTGCTCCTGCTCTTGTCAAACTGCAGCAGTCATCAGGTTTAATGATAAAGTGTTCATTTATGATACACAGCCGAAAGGATTTACAGTGGGGACCTTTTCTGAAGAGCACTTCCTTTTTTTTTCTTTTGCTATGGCAACGATGAATGGCAAGAGGAGAGAGATGGCGTGGTGCTGCCCTCACATAGACATATTGCTGTAGCTAGAATAAATGATTGAAACAGTAAGCCTTGCGGTCTTTGGCTAATTGTTGAACACATATGCTTTGGTGGGGCCGTGGGTGTCAAACTGCATTAGAGAAAAGACAGCCTGAGTCACGTAACCATCTCTATGGAAAAAGGCCCAGAGATATGCATTCATTACCCAGCTGTGGGAATGGATTATCCTACATTGCAGTGCACACGCTGCCACAATACCTCTGGAATAAAAAGGGCAGTCTTAACAAGCACCGACAGCAGTACAGAGCAAGACTTTTAAGTAGGTTTCAATTCCACAAATCCATAAACAAAATAAACGGCAGGTTCGACAAACGACTTATCTGAATGAGTCAAATGAAGCGGGGAGTTTCTGCGCTATGTTTGACAGACCACGTAACAGTGCAACTATTCTCAGAGGCAAAGCTGTGGAGCAACAAGTCATCATCACACAGCAGACCAGCAATGCGTCTCACTCACTCACACACACACACGCGCACACACACACACACGGCTCGGCTGCTGCCAGCTCCATTAAAAGATTTGAATCTGTGAAACTGAGACGAAAGAGATGCCTGGTAAAAGTTAATGGAATTTTTACGAGCTCACCGGACTTGATGAGGACGCCGGTGTCCTCATCAAGTCCGGATCAATGTCTTGCAGAGACACATTGTGGCTTTTAGTTTATTTAACATTTAATTAAGTGAGTTTAGGAATGGTGTTGCATATTGACTGATTCCCCTTCTTTCTTTTGCACACAATTAGCCAAAAGGCAGAGTGACAAAATTCACACACTTTCGCATAAAAGCTGGAGAAAGGTGATTTAAAAAATAAAAAAAGCTATAGAAATGAACTACATGAAAAGCTCCATTTACTGTCTTTCAGACTGAATGGTGCCTTTTGAAAACCATTTGTTGAAAGCACATTATGAAAGAGAAAATATGGTTACAGGAGGGAAATGAGTCTTTCCACTCAATTCAAAGTTATTGATAGTGACAGTTATGAAAATAAACCAGACCTTTGGTGTCACTTTCTGCGTTTACGTCGACAACTCATTCACAGAACACACCTGAAAAGTTACTCTCTCTCTCTTTCTCTCTCTCTCTCTCTAATCACATTATCCTGGTAACCCTGTTTAATCCCACAGTATGAAATCCTTTTTAAATTCTCTTATGTTGCGTTAAATTTACTGAACACATTAAAATTAGATATTTTGCCAGTTATGCAAATCCTGATAATCTGACTGCCTCAGACACAAGAGAACGGCAATTTTTAAGACCCCCCCCCGGCATTAAGCATCAACTCCAATTAACACCAGGTGATTAGCAATTGTCTCCCTGTGATAAACTCCTGATTAAGTCCATATAATTCATCCTCCCTCTTTCACAGTGTCTGTTTTTAACTCCAGCTTTGCTCTCTCGGCCTCACAGATGCTGCACTGCCACCCGCTGGCTGACGGCGGCCATTACAACAAGTCAGGTCATGAGTATTTCAAACATTTAAATTATGTAACTGCTAATTTATGCTTGAACATTTTAATGAGCCAGAACAAAATAATGAAAAGTGCAAATGTTCAACATCCTTGATTAGTGGCCTATTTTTCTGCATATTTATATAAATGAATGAAAAGTGCGTGTCTCCAAGAATACTGAACCTCCTGCTTGATAAGATGTGACACTGAAGCGCCTCATGTGTCTCATGTGTGTCATGCATCAGTGTGTGTGTGTGTGTGTGTGTGTGTGTGTGTGTGTGTGTGTGTTCTCCCCTGTGCGCACAGTCATGACCAGAAGGTCAGACAGATGCTATAAACACAAGCCAGCGTCCCTGGAGGTTCGTCCAGCCACACAAGCGGAAAAACACGCTCTTTGCACTGCAAGATAAACCATTGCATCACTTCACATCTGCAGTTGCTGGAAAACGCGGACGACTTTTGGCCACGGCTGAGAGACCACCTGGGAATCCATCACTCATTGTTACGGCCGGCCGTCCAATGACATTGCGACGTTTAAATAAATGAAACGGGCCACAGAAAGAAAAATACGGCGCATCATCAAATATTAAGCTCAGCCTTACAAACGAGTTGGAGACAAGGTCGTGTTTTATAACCAGCCGGCTGCAGAGCTCTAGTCCTCTCCTCTCTGTGGGAATCTGGGAACACTGCCCATATGCTCCATTAACACTGACTACAGGCTTTTTTTTTTTCAAGGAAAGATAGGAACAGACTGCAAGCACTCATGATACAATTCCAAGATACAGCATGTGTTGCAATGCCAGCTTGTGACAGACATTTTGACCAGCTGTACAGCTTGTTATCTAAAAGAGAATATAAATAAAAGGCTTGCTCCACCATCGGGTCAGAAAGTGAGGATTCAGTCTGGAAGTAGAAGAAAAAAGTGACGTGAAACCTGAATCAGCCGTGAGTGGCTGCGAAGTGGCAAGTTGATTAGTTATATCGACGGGAAAGGTTAAAGGTGAAATGATCCCAGCTCCCACAGAGGATGATGTTAGCGGGGTTAGCTGCAGGCACGAGGAGACTGATGGTAAAGATAAGCAGGCAGAGATGAGCCATGAAACGGAAACAAGCTAGGAACTGGGTCATTATCACCTCTAAGGTTGACAGTTGCTTACAGTATTTACACATCCAGCTGATACAGAGAACGTTAGCGTTAGCATAGAGTGTCTCCAGTATTTGCTCTGCTTTTGGTCTCCAAGTCTTCTCCTTCAGGTTTCCTTTAAATGTTCACTTAAGTATTTAAGGTTTTCTCCTTATCTTAGTCTTTTACTTAAGAAACCACTGCACAAAAGACTTAGTTACCACGGCAGCAAATGAGCAGTTCCCGTGGAAACAGAAGAAATTTACGGCTGTAAAATCTTTTGCGCTGCTGCAAATGCCTCCACTTTTTCTTTAACTACGGAAAACCTTTTAAGAGATTCTGTGCAACTCCTTTAAATACTGTATGTCCACACTACTACTACGCATCTCTTCTGCTACATCGTCCACACTGCTCCGAAGTTACGAGCCTCTAAAACAGACTTTAAGAAACGCCGCAGGCCCATTTTTAGTTTGAAAACTCCGGGGTTTCTTTTAGTCTGGACGGGCAAAACTGGAAAACTTTGGAAACAATGACGTCACTCCCTGATGTTGATGTGTTGCTGACCTTGTGGTCTTTGCTTTCTTGACAATCTACTTCCTGTTTACACTGGCACGCACATGCCCAGTGTAGGTAACGTAACGCTTGTCTGGACGGAGGTGGTGAGGTTTTTGTGTGGACGTAGCTTTATTTGCTAACTCTATCTCTCTGCTGCTGTGCAGGAAGTAAACGCTGAGAGGAATGAGACTGAAAACATAGAAGCTGCAGGACTCTGTTGCCAATTCTCTGAGGGTTTGTCACCAGAAGTGACCCATTTTACATTACACACAGTCATTTGATCCATTGCTAGTTACTGTCACTATCTAACACAAGAGATAACACTCAGGCAGACACCTCAGTGACCCTTGAGTATCAAAAGCCTGAGAACTTTCTCCTCATGCCGAGCTGCAGATAGCTAACGGTCAATGAGACACCGTGGAATGTCAAACAGCCATAATAAGCCTTCTTATCTTTTGGGACCATTATGACTTATACCACAGCAAACCCAAACATATGCCTGATGACTAAAAATAAATATATAATAGCCGGACTGGAAAGCAGAAGAAAACCTCAAAAGATGCTATCTTGGCTTCAGTGATGTGGCTCATTAACCGCAGTAATCTGGAAAATGTTTTCATCTCAGGAGCCAGATGTGATTTGATTCTAATAGCTCCACGTCTCTGTCTCCACTCTGGCCTGACGGAGAAGTTTCGCGCTGCTTCCAGCAGCAGCAGCCGACATACCAATTACAGGGTTATTTTTAAAATCCTGCTTAACCATAAAGCTCCCCAAAATAGGCCTTAAATAACAGGGTGTCGAATATCAGCAACCCCAGTGGCACTGCACGGATGCAGCTGGTGTGTGATCTGTGCCACCAGTTTGCACTGGCACACACTGACAACTACACTCCTCATAATACATTGGCCCATGTGGATTTTGTTGGGGTATGTTTTTATAGTTCGGAGCCTCTGAAGAAGGAGGTTTTCATGCAGCATCATCGAGCTCATTGTCCTTGGAACATTCTGACGGGTCAAGACGACATTAGGAGGAAAAAGTAGGTCATCTGGACCTTCTTGTCTCATCATCAGACATTTGGAAAATGGGAGGTTTTTCTCATAATGACCCACTTCACTTCCAGCAGACTTAGATTTTCCTCTCAGAGAAGCCAGCTGAGATGGAAAAAACAAAGTGGGAGAGCGAGGAGACGTGTGCTGTGAGTGTTTTTCACCAAAACTGAGGAAATGACGGAAAAGTACAAATTGCCAGAGAGTGAATGATACTGGAGCAAATGGAGACACAGAGATAAATCCCATATTGTTACAAGATAAAAGCATAGTCAAGCAGCACCTGAAGTCCTCACATAAAGAGGAAAACAACAGTGAAATCTGAAGTTTCACCACTCGGAAAACAGATGTGTTTTTCCCCTCACAGTCATGTCACCACTACTAACTTTAAAGTTTCTTTCAATTTGCTGAAATGCAAGTCGCATCAAGGCCTATATTCATCCACCTGTCACATGCAGCACAAGCTTGGCAGTTACCTGGAGCGAGGTGGAAAGTAACTGCACAAAAAGGAGGTACAGTTCACACCACATAACCCCATGAAAATCCACAGTGGCAGTACTTACCGTATTTGCCACAGCAGGCTTCTCAAACATCCTCTTAAGACTATCAAGTGGGATGGCAAACCTTTCAATCCTCTTAGCAGCCTGCAGGTCCTCTCTGAGCACTGGACTGTCTGATGCCTCTACCTGCAGCCCAGAGGGACGACGGGAAACGAAGCCCGAGGTCGCCGACACTGTGCTCGCCACCTCCTCTCCATTTCCTGATTGAATTTCCATTGTTGCACAGAAACTGTATCCCCCCTACTTTTCCCTTCAGGCCGCCGCTCGGAGGGGAAGTCTATTGTGTGAGGTGAAGGAGGGGTGAGGAAGTGAGGGAGAAAAACAGGGAGTTATGAGAGGGTGAGGAATAGAGATGGAGATGTTGCTGGGGTTCCTCTTTGTCTGTCAGTCTGGGTCTTTGCAGGCACAGCGAGTCGCTGGAGGAAAGAGGAGGAGAAAAGAAAAAGTTCACAGGGAAATTTTTCTTCCCCCTCTCTCCCTCTGCCCAGTAATTACTCATACACACACAGAAGCCTATGTAAACTCACATGTGGGCTCAGAAAAGCAAATTGAGATACGAGCTGTGAGAGCAGGCCAAAGGAGTAACAACAAAGAAAGAAGAAAGTGCTGATTCTGTTTCCTGGAGACTCAAAAAAATGTACTTCACATTGGTTTATGACATGACATGATAATTGCTTATAAACCAGAACCAGTCTCATGACTGTAAAACATTATATTTGCTAATAATAATAATATAATACACTTAAGTAAATGTATTGTACTTTACCTGACCATTTCTATTCTATGCTATTTGATATTGGCTTCACTATAACTGAGGACAAAACATTGTTCTTTATGCTCCACTACATTTTACTTTACAGATAAAGATTTTAAATATAACTTGTAAAATATGATTAACTTGTAAAATACGATGCATTATTCAAAGTTAAATCACCCAATAGGCTAAAAACTAGTTGAAATGAACTCTGCCTTGATGATTTATGACATCAGGTTGCTAACATGTTAATGAATCACCAATAATAATCCAGTTTAACTGAAGATATTTGCACCAAGCATTCATTCACTGGTCATACCCGCTTCTCCTTTTAAAGTCTGACATTAGATCTATCACATGATTCGTAGACAAATTCACAATTCACACTTTAGAGTTGCTAATTAAACATACCTGCTTGTCTTTGGACTGTGGCAGGAAGCCGGTGTACCCGGAGGAATCCCAACCCTCTGGTCGTCTTCTTGTCGCCCGGGGGGTGACCTATAAAATATTATTAAAAATGAAATAAAAATAATAACACTGACAGGGTCCATTCTGCTGCACTAGAAATACTATGTCTGTAATTTAAATACATTTAGCTATAACTGTTCTTCTCCAAGTAGCCAGCAGTAACAAGCTAGCTGGTTGCTACCTGAATAGGAAACAGAGTCGCAATTTAGGAAATGGGTTTTAAAAATAGGTTTTCCTTCCCTCTTGCCGTAGATTCAGTTCCCCAGTTCAGGTGCTATAACACTAAAAACTCCTTTATCCCGTTTTGTATCTGCTCCCCTGACTGCAAGTCAACTTTCCCACTCGAAATATCAAAATGTCTGAATCTGACCTTGTGAAAGTTAATGCTAATGCTAATGCTAATACATGAGAGGCAGAAACTGGGGCTAGGCAGCTAGCTAGCTTAAATACAGTATGCACAACACTGCATATAAAGCACAAAATATTTCCTTATCTAGTGTCATAAAAAAATGCTTAATGTTCATTTCTGTACTTGGTCACACTCATGAAATATGCAAGTCTGGTTTGTGGCTAAAGAATGGTTAACACCTCCAATTATTTCGTTTTTTTAAGGTCAGAAGAAAAGAAAAACATAACTGAAGGAAAAAATGATTGTTTGATTTGTACAGTTATTATTTTTATGTGGCATTAAGGACTGTGGGAAACCAAAAACAGAGGAAGTTAAATCCAGCGACACACAAGGATCTGCTTTACTTTCAAATCAGCTGGTCGCAACATTTTTCAGGAAACAGATTAACAGCTTTTTGCCTCACCCATCCTCTCTTAAACAACAGGGTGGGAAAGCTCATTATTCCCGATCAAATCACGGAAAGGTCCATAACAGCTAACCCTGCTGGCATGCCCTGCAGCCATGATGGCGAATATATTGTTAACTTTTCACCAGCCACACCGGCGCTTCCTGGGGAGTGTTTTCCTGAACTCGGCCCTGGCAAGAAAAGGGAGATTAACACGTTAACTGAGCTTCCTCTCCGTGACTCACATTTCAGCTGCTCCTCTCTCATCCTGTCGTGTTTAAGGTGCGATTCTCACTATATTGTGCCACATTTCCAGCCTTGAGCGAGTGGGTGTTTGTTAACTACTCACATGAGCTGAGAAAGAGGAGCAGGGGGTCAAAATGACGGAGGGGAGAGTGAGAGCGGCTGACAAGAGGAAAGCCGAAGAAGAACGACAGCTTAGTTACAGGAGCGGGTGGAAACAAAGAGAGCGCAGTTACAAGCCTGAAACAGTCAGTCACAGTCACAACACAAGCATCAATACAGAGGCAGAGAGAGGAAGGAGCTGAGAGGCAATCCAGATAATCCAATCTTAATGAATGAACGGTCATGATAGATGCATCTGATAGTACTTTAGAGGACACAGTATCACTCCATTTATACCAGCTAGGATACATTATTCAGAGAGGCCCTGAGGTATGTGTGTCACTTTCTGCTGGATCCTGTGTCCACTGAGGCCACGTAGTTTACAGCAGTTACTCACCTAAAAAATACATCTGATTAGGCCACTATGGATTTCTATTAAAAGTTAAAATATTTAACTTTTTCCACATTAAAATGTCTAAGAACAACTTCCATTATCCAAGATGTTTACAGCAACTTTCAAACTTCGAGAAAAACTGACTTTTATCTAGTTTGAAGCCACATATTTAAAGACACTAATTGGTTGTTTTCAACTATGTATTTTAACCAGATGAAGGATTTTACTCATCGAACGTCTGGATCTGAAGTTATCAGAGAACAAAGCTGAGTAAATGTTAGACAGCTCCGCTCCGAGACGTCCTGTGTCCACTCAACTGCGTCGGTGAATCACTGATTTTTAAAACTGCTTTATTCAGTGTTTCTACTGGTTTTAATGCCCTGGTCTGTTTGTTGTGGAGAGGAGGAGGAGGAGATCTCTGTGGATCATTCGGCTCCGGGTAAAAACCTCCTGAACCGCTGACACTGAAGGAATCCAAACCGGAAAAAGCTGACGGCGATCGAGGTAAGGAGACAACAACTCCCATGATCCCGCGCCAATTCACGACGTCACCCAACGCTGTATTTTTGTTATTGTTTTGATTAAGAGAACCCTAGAGACAGAGCTTACACTTACTGTGCATTTAACTTATGTTTTTTCTTCCTGTTATTTCATTTCAGCAACTGAAAAGAGTCAATTTTGAGAGGAAACAGGCCTCTGAGGACATGATCCGGAGTAATGGAGTATTAAAGATTTTCTGTGTTATGCGTCTTGATTTGTTGGATAGTGAAAACAGATTACACACACACACAAGCCCACACACAAGCCCACACACACACACAAGCCCACAAGCCCACACACACACACACACACACACACACACACACACACTGTTTTAAGTGCAGGGTTGAGTGGAATTCAGTGTGAGAGCAAACATAATGGCCCCTAACACAAAGCACCAGAGCAGCTTTCTTTAATACAACAAGACAATATTTCAGGCCAAGTGGGGCTTCAGAGAGACTTTTCTGGTGAAGATCCGCCAGGGTATAAACAGTGTCTGCTTCTATTAAATGAAAGCTGTTGCAGGTTCTGTGTTTGATCCCATGTTGAATTCCTGGCAAAGGACTCTGGATGACTTTTATTCTGAGGACAGACTGAAAAATTATCCCCCTGATAAGATAAGAAGAAATAACTATTCTTGTTTTATTTTGTCTACAGTGTACAGAGAGTACGCGCACACATCACATTTTCCAGTAAACCATAAAAAATAAATAAAAAATGTCACTAAGTACGCCCACTTAACATACTTTAACATGGTTTCTACTTTCAGAGCCAAAAGGTCCATTCTGGTTCCCAAGAAAAAGTCTGGAAACAGCATCTCAGAGTCATGACAGATGACAGATTCAGCTGGAAAAACTGTCAACGTTTCAAAGCCAGAAAAATCTTTTCCCAGCTCATTGCACATAATTCATTGTTGCTGGTTTGTTGATATTATGGGAATTAAAAAAAAAAAAAAGATTCTCTGACATCAACATGCTGCTGCAGCCAGAGATGACAACAATGCCTTTGGAAGCCTGGCTCTTTTACATACATCATCATGCTCTTGAAGAAATTAGCCCCTTTAAACCATAAACCGTATGTGACACTTACTTTGCATTCCCATTTCGGACAGGTCTCTCATTATCTTATGAGACTTCCTTCCTAAATAAAAGGTTAAAGGTCCGAATTTTACACTGTTTCATTAGACGTGTTGATCCATAAGAAGATATATTTGTGGTTTTAAGATTCGAAAACCATCTCAGTGTAGGCTGGTTTTAAGGCTCAGTCTGTGAATGCAGTATGTATAACGTCGACTGGAGCTGAAATGATTGATTAGTTTATCAACAGAAAATTGATGTGGAACCATTTTGATAATCAAATAACTGTTATTTAAGCGATATTTTTTAGGCAAAAATGGCTGGTTCTGGCTTCTCGTTCACTCACTGTATTTCTCATTATACACCCTGTACTTCCTGCTCACTTTCTAGGCACACAGGGAGAGACAGCAGCCAGTACGGATCAAATTACAGCTGTGACTCCAGTTACTTGGGCTTTACTTCCTACCCTACCTTCATTATAACACAAGCAGGTCATCCGATAGGGCCAGAGGATAGTGCTGTGGAGTAGTAACAGTCGGCCTACCATCAGTGAAAATACGAACAGGAGTCTTTTAAGGTGAAACTGTGAAAAATGCATGGACGTAATAACTGCACTCAGGCTCTGAATGTTGGATGTTTTTGTGCAGCTGCAAAAACTGAAAAATAGTTTTATGTCACAAGGGCAAGACTTATAAACCCCTTGATTTGAATTTCTGCATTTATATCATTATGAATTCATGTTTTTTTTAAATATATATTTCCCACTTGGGGTTATTATTATACACTGTTGTTCCATGTTATTTTGGTGTTCCTCATTTGTTATCTCATTTGTGTCTGTACAGCTTCTGCATCATTAGCAAGCTCCATTGGGGACGAACTGACTGCTTGTGTTATATAAACACCTTATCTGGATGCACTCCGTGTAGAAAGGGTATATTTGGTGAATAGATGGTCTTTGCTTCACTGAAAGATAGTGTTCTCCTTGTCTGCGCCTAGAAAACACTATGGACAGAGACCTACA